ACTTAGGTCTCTTAGCACTAGCAGCAATGGCGTAGGTCTCGGAGCATCTAAACATATCATCACAGACCTGAGGCACTGGTTGTATACCCGCCTACATAGGTCTTTTAGCACTAGCATCAATGGCGTAGGTCTCGGAGCCTCTATACATATCATCACAGACCTGATGCACTGGTTGTATACTAGCCTACATAGGTCTCTTAGCACTAGCATCAATGGCGTAGGTCTCGGAGCCTCTATACATATCATCACAGACCTGAGGCACTGGTTGTATACCAGCCTACATAGGTCTCTTAGCACTAGCAGCAATGACGTAGGTCTCGGAGCCTCTATACATATCATCACAGACCTGAGGCACTGGTTGTATACCAGCCTACATAGGTCTCTTAGCACTAGCATCAATGGCGTAGGTCTCGGTGCCTCTAAACATATAATCACAGACCTGATGCACTGGTTGTATACTAGGCTACATAGGTCTCTTAGCACTAGCATCAATGGCGTAGGTCTCGGAGCCTCTATGCATATCATCACAGACCTGAGGCACTGGTTGTATACCAGCCTACATAGGTCTCTTAGCACTAGCATCAATGGCGTAGGTCTCGGTGCCTCTAAACATATAATCACAGACCTGATGCACTGGTTGTATACTAGGCTACATAGGTCTCTTAGCACTAGCATCAATGGCGTAGGTCTCGGAGCCTCTAAACATATCATCACAGACCAGTTGCGCTGGTGCAACCGTAACCTACGTAGGTCTCGTAGCAGTATCACCAAGAAGGTAGGTATGAGAGCCTCTATACATATCATCACAGACCTGATGCGCCGGTGATATACTAGCCTACATAGGTCTTTTAGCACTAGCATCAATGGCGGAGGTCTCGGAGCCTCTATACATATGGTCACAGACCAGTTGCGCTGGTGTAACGGTAACCTACGTAGGTCTCGTAGCAGTATCACCAAGAAGGTAGGTATGGGAGCCTCTATACATATCATCACAGACCTGAGGCACTGGTTGTATACCAGCCTACGTAGGTCTCTTAGCACTAGCAGCAATGACGTAGGTCTCGGAGCCTCTATACATATGGTCACAGACCAGTTACGCTGGTGCAACAGTAGCCTACGTAAGTCTCGTAGCACTATCACCAAGCAGGTAGGTCTCGGAGCCTCTATACATATCATCACAGACCTGATGCCTTGGTGATACAGTAGCCTACATATGCCTTCGTTTGCCTGTCCAGACAGGGGGCCAAAAGCTCATTGCAAGAGCACCATCGGGAGGCATTCATTGCTAGTTCTTTAACAGCACTGGGACGATGCGGCTATGGTTAAATGCAAATGACAACGGAATTGTCAAGAAAGGTATGGGCAAAGATATCATTTCCGGGAACGTTGTCGTTCAGACCCATTCAAAGTGCTCAAGCAAATGTGCCGGACACGTCATATGCGTCACGTCAACATAGCGGATCACTAAGGAGTGGGGTAAAAGTAATGTACCTAAAGGAAAGCATAGTGAACACGGAATGCATGGGTTTGGAGTCCCAGTTAAACAACAATTAGGCCATTCCTGCGAGGATTATACAGCCACCGTCCTATTCATTTACCGAATGTTCCAATCAATGCCGTCAACCAAGCAGTTGCGTCTGGTTGGCAAGAGGGAAACACACGGCAACGAAACAGGAGGTGGCCCTAAAAAGGGCCAAGTTTGCGTTCTCACAGGCTGATCTTCATGCAGTTAGGCAAAGTCGTAATCATCGGCTGCAATGGTTTAATGACAATGGCACAGAACTTACTGTCTGGCATGCAGATCATGAAAGTGCTTCTTAAAACGGTTGTCTTTCCAGCAAAGGGTTCATTTGCAGTGGAATCCAGATCTACACTGAGGATGCAGGTAACAAAATATTATGACTTACTCAAACGCAGGTTTGCAGATAGGCTGCAGCTCCGCCGAGGTGTTCGTCTCATTTGGTAAGCGTATAGGCATAGCGGGTGCGTTGTCCGTACTATATAAATAAATAAATAAATAAATATTTATTCTCGACTATGCGAGGCACGCCAATTGAGGCATGATCAGGTATGTACAGCTGTACAGACATTTTATGGGAACTGTAGTGTCAGTAGAAAATTGTTCATATGTCCACGCTTGGGACTGTGCGATGGTGAACATGCGATAGAACGATTGGGTTGTAGTGGGATCGGGATCCATTTGTTTGGACATAATCGCTCTGCCACATATCGCAGTCATACCTCGAGTAATTATAGATAAATCCTGAGGGATCCATTGGAAGATAATTGAAGAGTAAGCTATCCAGTATGGTGATTCTAATTGAGCTGCCAGTGTGAAGTTATGGGCTGTGACTTTATTCGGTGGCGAGTCACATTCGCCACGTTGCAGTGTTGTTAAACGGACATTTGTGGCTTTTTATAGGGAGAACGCTTGCCAGGCGAAAACCCACCACGTCCTGAAACACTGCCGCCAATCCATTGGATGGCAAGTTGTAACTGGCTATGTTTCTTGTTGAACGTTTATTTGCTCCGTTATTCGCAGTCAAGTTGCGTCCCATTTTTCTGCTGACTGATGCGCTATGCGAGTGGCCATTGCGTGCCTGGGTCCTCTCCTGTTCCAGATCGGTAGGTCAGGAGCTAAGCATTCTTTCTGGATTTGATGTGTTGATCATCTACAGAACCACGTGAAGCCTCGAAGAATATACGTTGAAATATGTTGAAGTCTTGGAGGACAGGATAGGTTCCGAAGAAAGAATCGCAGATCCCCCGGGGTATGTAGTGAAATTGATTAGAGATTGTGGTAACCACGGCCATTTGAGCGGTCAAAGCGGATTGAAGAGCTTAGAATGACCGATTGTTCAAGCTTTGTATTGGCAGGAGAATGTGCCTTCCGTAGTCGAAAGTCCTCCAGTCAAGAGATATGTGGAAGAGGCATTGTTAGATAAATTGGACTCAGTGGTTCATGCCGTGGAAGAATTGATTGATTTGTCCGGTTAGTAAGTTGTAAAAAAGTTGATAATTTTCCGCTCATGTCCAAGTAGAGGAACTGTGTGCCTTGTATTGTTGTCGAAACGGATGACAATTCCTTGGGTGCGTGTCGCCGTACCTGTGACAGACTCGGGAGAAAAAGGAAACGAACAGAGACAGCCACACAGACAGAAGAAAGGAATGCATCTGGAATGCAGTCAATCAATTGCGGCGATGCCTGAACTATTGTACCCCTATGCATGTAATTGTTATTTAAATATCGCATATACACGTATATCATAAGTGGCGAAATACGACGAGAATCGAGCGGAACACGGATCAGTAAAGAATGAAAGATTGAAGATGAAGCAGAAGTGTTTGGGGAGGGCTCAGAAAGCAAAAGAGCGTTTAAATAAGACTGCATAAGTCAGCAAGATGTAGCTAGGCAGTCAGATTAAAGTGGGGATAACAGTAGTGAATGTGGGACTACAGAGGCTATATAAAAAGCCCGTTAGCATATCAAACGAAGCTCTCAGGCTGAGGAACAGGGTGTGTTGTGACTGCACAGCCTAGAACACGTGCGTCTCTGATTTCTGGAAACAGTCAGAAAATAGGAGGCTGGTCAGACCAGGCTAGAGTGGAGCCAGGCCCGAAGTGTTATCCGTCCAATGGATAAAGGAAGGCAGACAGAGTGCGAAAATTAAGGAATGTAATCGTAAAGGAGACACTTAAGGGGAAGTGGAAGAGCCTACAAAAATCTCGAGGTGTTGCGAACAGACCTTTTGACCAGTCGATGGTTCACAAGTATGGGCTCAGTATTCGGGAAGCAGGAGACCATGGAAATGAGATGAGGATATCGGCTCATGGAGAGAAAGCCGTATTATAAATGTCAGAAAGTTAACAGAGCGTCATCAGGATAGAAGTGTTAAGGATAAAAGCGGATATACTATTGATGAATCATGAGCAGCAATGCTCTGGAGGCGGGGGAGACAGAGCATTGCGTCTGCAGAGACTAGATCATTTAGAACTCAGAAGTTCGAGAGAAGTCAGAAGGCAGGAGGCCGTACAGCCAGAACCAGAAAAGCCAGGCTAGAGTGTGAAAAAAGGCTCTATGGGTGAGAAGAGAAAGAAAAAGAAAGCCAACGATATGCTCCAGGTGCTGTGCGCAGACTGTTGGAGCTTACGGTTTCTGTTCATTAGGTTCACGGAAGTCGGAAGATACGAGATCGTTGAGACGAGCCCAGAATGTCAGCTCGTAGGGTGAAAGTCGTGTTCGTAAAGTCTAAGTGCTGACAGAGAGCATCAACAGAAATGGACATGTTAAGAAAAAAAAGGGGACATGATAATAAGGTTCAATCATGACCAGCGGTGGTCTTGCGGTGAGGGTAACAGACTATCGTCGGCAGAGTCTAGATCATTAGATCACAGAAGTCCGAGCGATGTCAGAAGACAGGAGAGCGTACAGTCAAACCCGGGTAAGTCAGCAAGCTGAAGCTAGGCCTCCAAAGTAGGGTGGGAATAAGTAATGAGTGTCATCAGAAAGCAGTTTGGGAAGCAAGTGGCTATATAAAAAGGCGGTTGCATGCCGAAGAATGGTCTCAGGATAAGGGGGACAGAGCACCAGGACAACAGAGCCTAGATCGTTAATGTTTGGAATGTAAGGAAGTAGTCAGAAAGCACATATACATAGCTGCAACAGGGTACCGCGTCACAACCATCCGAAGTGTCTGAGCGGAGGTGAAAAGCTATATCAAAGCGCTTGCCTTCGTACGCCGGAGAAGTAGATGGGGTAAATGATGTCGTTATATTCGGAGATGGTGTACGGCGCATAGCTGAAACTAAATTACTTGATTCCAACTCACGTATGTTACTACTATGTGACGGCTTTTTGGGAAGTGGAACTGCTGCTATGTCACTGGAGCAAACTTTGCAACCGTCGGTTTTGTTCTCCACCAAGGTGGTACAGTTGCCCGTTGTGCACGCAATGAACGCCAGTACCTGCAACCGGTTCACCACAAGCGAAGCAAAATGTAGTCAACTTACCGGCTTTGTGCCACCGCGGTTGCTTACGCGATGGTTGGCAGTGTGGCTTATTACTTACGACGGGCGCACCTGGTGCTACGTCTATGAGCTCATCAGTTTGTTGAATGAGGCTATCGATAAACCCGGATACTGCACCGGGGGTTCACGTCTTCCAGGCACTTAATCCGAGCAAGCAGTTTTGCTACGTTGGAATTCGGCTGCCTTGAGGTGGCTACCTTCAAACTCCGAAGCAACATGGAATCCTCCGGCATGTTGTAATTCGCTAACCATCGACTACGGATAGGGATGCTTTCTAAAAAGGGAATGAAACATAATCGTTGTTTTACCCACCGGATGTTGATTCTCCTTATATAAAATCAATAAATGGACGCACGGTAGCCACATGTGCCCGTAAAATGCGCAAGTGCATGTGTCATTTGTGCAGTCGATGTCATATCTATGGTTGTGGGAGAGCTGGAACGTTAGCACATTTAGCCTACGGCCATCCCGAGCAACATTGACACGAGCACTGCAATCGGTGTCTCTGGAACTAAATTTGACGGTTAACAACATTATAAACCACATACTAGACTCGCCGTATTCCTTTGCTCCTTGTTTTCCGGCGCTTACAGCGCACGCGTTTATAAACGATGCGATCATACCTCATGCTATGATACTTGCTTCTTTTGCTGCTACAGCAAACAAAATTGAAGTTGTTCCGATGCATAAATGAGGTAAAAAGCGAATAGAATTCATCAAAGCTATGAAACGAATGCCCAACAAAGGTGCTCCTGAAGTCAGCCTCCATGGTTGCAATCCGAAATAACAGCTAAATACGACCTTTTTCATTTGACCTCACTTAAAGTAGCAACTAACATCATGTGCAGAAATATTAGCCGTTTTTTTGAAAATACCAGACATAGTCGTATTTTATGCCGTAAAATTGAGGCCACTTATTTTTACATTGCCCATATTTCTTGCAGTTCTATGGTTGCCAAAATGTTGGTCATCACGTGAACAAGGATTATGTGCACTGATATGGAATGTTGACTGCAAAAGGAATCAATTGCAGTTGAAGTTCATGTGCATGTAGTGCGCTTATATTGCGCATTGTTTGAAATGGCAATAATGCGCCGTGGCATGTTGTCAAGGTCTCGGCGTGCTTGTCGTGTTTCACCGCTCGTGATTTTCTTTACTGAAGTCCTTGTTTGATAACAGTAGTTGAATATCTCTACATAGAAAATTTGACTTTGTCAGTTTTCTTGTACTCTGAAAGTTCTTGGAAGTGCCAACATACTCGGAATCTATTGCGTACCTTCTTTTGTCGCGACTTGATTGTCGTGCTTCTCCGCTTGAGTTTTCCTTCTCGGAAGCCTTTTGTGGAAACAGTGTTGAATAACTCTGAGCATAAACTGCCAGTGTACCAGCGTTTGAGGATCTTACATTGTTTGCCTACTGTTCGTGGTTTTCTCCTCGAAATATTGGCCTCTGTTTGAAGACATCAACGCAAAAGATTCCGGCCTTTATCGATATCTCATCGACCGAGTACAAATCGGGTTGATATTCGACCGCGCGAAGCTGATCAATCCCTTGCTCCTGCAGTCTCCCCCAGCTCCATCGGAGAACAGCTTTTGAAGGGTATTCTACAGAAAAGCCTGTTCTGGTCTTCGTTGCTAATTTTCTTGTTCTGCTGAGTCCAAATCTGGGCACACGAATCACTCCGGGTTCTATCTGATTGCTGCTTACGTTGTCTGCATTGTAGCCTACCGTACCACGGTTCACGTTCCTATTATCTGTTAAAGTTTTTCATCTTTCGTTATGGTAAAGATATCCAGTTCCAAGTCTCCCTCGGACCCATTAACCGATTCGTCAGCTGTTTGTGGTAAAGCGAGTTGCTCAAAACCAGTTACTGGTTCTTCTGTGGGCATGCAATGTGACCTCTGCAGTTCTTGGTTCTATGAGGCTTGCACTGGGTTGCATAGACAGCAGTATACCCTCCTACAAAACAGCGATAATTTGCCTTATAATTGCCATGGTTGTGTGTGGAACAAAGCATATCGTCTAGTCCCAAATGACGAATTTGAAACTCTGGTAAACAGAGTTGGTACCTTTCTATCTTTGTTTAGTTCTTTAGAGGGGAAGGTTGATCAAATCGTCGTAAGCCTTGAACGTGCAGCCCTCAGAACAAACGTGCGTTCAGACGATTGCATAAATAGTACGGCTTCGAAGGATCCACCAACTCTTGAGGCGGTGCCTGAAGATGATAAACATACTGACGGTATGTTGAACTCAGGTGTTAGTGGGGAAGTTGTACAGGCCAGTGTATCTGCGAAGGCAAAGCGGCGCAAGATAAAGAAATCTATCAGTACAACGAAAACCAAGCTAAGAGAGGTAACGGCGGGCTCTGTCGATACTCCGTCCCCGGAAACGAAGGCCGAAAACCCTTCTACCTCATTGCCGAAATCCTTCTCCTGTGCAACTGCTGTTCCTACTAAGGAGGATATGAACTCAAGCACTGCGCCGGCCACTGCTACTGTGACGCGTGCCGTAAACACCCCTCGTCGTAGTGACGCATTTACGGACAGCAGCGTTATCTTCAGGAATATCTCGGAGCCCTCTGCGACTCTTCCGAAAGATCGCATGCTTGACGACCTTCATTGGTTCAAACTTTGCGTTTCTATACTGCTTCCACCCGGGTTCCCTGGGGTTACTGTTAGAAAACTTACTAGGCTTGGAAACATATCGGGTGATGGTACTAAAGGTAGACCCCGTCTATTACGCGTGGCACTGTCTACACCGTAGGAGCGCCAAGCTCTTTTGCGCTTCGCCTTTAAACTAAAGGGTTCCGGAGTGAGTATACAGCCGGATCTACCTTTGGCAGATGGGATAAAGCTTAAAGAAGCCATCAAAAACCTTAAAGCGCGTCGCGAAGCTGGCAAAAAAGGTTTATGTTTGGTGGGTTTTTGGGTGGTGAGCCGACGGTCCACTTCCGCCCTACCAGAGCCCATTCTGGTAGTACACGACCCGGGGCTCTCCATACCAAACGTTTTCACACAGTTCTTAGTAATGTGCGTAGCCTGCGAAACAAGATGTGTGAAGTGGGGGCCCTAATAGACCACTCCCATCCTGATGTACACGCGTTCACTGAAACCTGGTTGTCTTCTGACGCCATGGACAGTGAATTATACGTTCCGGGCTACGCAATACTGAGATCTGACCGCCCATCTGATCTCCGTGGCGGTGGTGTCGCCTTGTATATCAGATGTGGTGTAAACATATCTAAAACACCTAACTTTAACTCAGCTGATAAAACTTTTGAAGCTCTTTCAGTTGAAGTCTGACTGAATCAACGCAATTTAAAATTGTGCTGCTGTATAGGAGCCCTGATAGAGCTTCTAGGAGTTTCATTGACTTCATCCGCACTCACTCTGCGAACAGATGCTTGATAATGGGGGACTTCAACTTCCCTGAAGTAAATTGGCATGACCTATCTTGTGAGGCAGCGACAACAGGTTTGGCTGCCGAGCTTGTTGACTTGACACTAGAAGTACCCTTACAAAAATTTGTCGATCGACCCACCAGGTACATGGTGGGTCAAGCTCCTTCTCTGTTGGACCTAGTTTTCGCAAAGTCGGTTGACTTTGTGAGTGACCTTGAGTACGGCCCCCCTTTGGGAGCTAGTGACCATAAGTGTTTGTCATTCACTTTGCTCTCATTAGAGACTACGATTCACGCAGGGTCCCGACTTCGAACATTTGGCACGCCGATTTTCCGTCTCTTAGAGCCAAGACAGTAAGTTTTCCATGCATCATCTTGCCGGATAATGATATAAAGACGGCTTGGGATACGTTTAAGTCTTTCCTCTTTAACATATCCCACCCCCACATCCCTCTTTCGCCAAAGAAGGGTGCCAAAGCGAAGCCACCATGGGTAGACTCAGTCGCACACCAGCTAATGAATAGACGGGCAAGATGCTGGCGGACCTACCGAACAGTTCTCTCAGAGTGTACTTTTCGGCGTTATCGGGAAGCTCGGAATGCGTGCAAGAGTCAGTTACAAGCTGCTAAACTTAGCTATGAGATGGAGCTGACTAACTCAGCCTCCGCGAATCCCAAAAGATTCTTCGCCTACGTCAAAAAGCATAGTAACGTTGGCTCATCTATCCCAGTGTTATTAGGCAGCGACGGCGCCACTGCCACCACTGATCACGAAAAAGCATGTCTACTGAGTGCGCAGTATGCCGGAACTTTTGTTCAGGATAAGCAATTGCCGCATCTTGACCTAGCAATGAGAGTCCCACAGGACTCCTGTTTAACCCGTCACAATTTCGGAGGCGAAAGTTCTCTATCTTCTTCAGGCTCTAAATCCTGCTTAATCCGCTGGGATGGATGATATTCACCCTAAGCTTCTATACGAACTAGCAAGCGAGCTATGTGGCCCAGTGACGCGTTTGTTTCAATTGTCGCTTCGCAGCCGCTCCTTTCCTAAGGACTGGAAGGATGCTATCGTTTGCTCGATTTTTAAAAAGGGCGACAAGGATCTTCCTGCCAATTATAGACCAGTAAGTTTGACAAGCGTACTGGTCAAGTTATTGGAGAAGTTGGTCAGTGAGGTGCTTGAAGACCACCTGCGGGAGTATGGTCTGCTCAGTCCACTGCAACACGGCTTTCGCAAGGGTCATTCCTGTATGACTAATTTGCTAGTTACACGCGAATGTTGGGCGGATGCTTTGGATCGGGATCATGCAGTAGATGTCGTGTTTATTGACTTCTCCAAGGCGTTCGACACTGTATCACATCCTCGCCTTTCCTTGAAACTTCGGTCCTATGGAATATCCGTGGGTATACTAAAATGGATCACCACGTTTCTGGAAGGGAGAGAGATGTGTGTTCGTGTCGGGTCTAGTCTGTCCTTCCGGCAGTCAGTCCTCAGTGGGGTCCCTCAGGGTTCGGTGCTTGGCCCGTTGTTATTTTCCTTGTAGGTCAACGAGCTGCCCGAACTGCTGGACGTACCATCTCCCATGTTTGCAGATGACCTAAAGTTTTGGCACCTAGTGTCTGACTTCGCTGGACCCCAGATTCTGCAACGGGCCCTCGATCAACTTTCTGATTGGGCTGCTCTGTGGCAGTTGCCCATAAACTATGCAAAGTGTTCCATCTTACGAGTAGGGCCAAATAGCCCCCAAACGCGTTATTTGCTTGGCGGTAATGAACTCCACCAGGTTACCCAATTGGTAGACCTAGGAGTCACATTGTCTTCAGAACTTAAATCCAGTGAGAACTGGAGGAAAGCTACGTGCAAGGGTTTCAGAATGGTGCGGATGATCCGCAGGGCATTCGGGATCATCACGGGCGCTATGTTTGTTAGGTTATTCTCACCGTTTGTCAGGCCACACTTGGAATACTGCATCCAGGCTTGTCCACCTTGCTTAGTCAGGGACAGGATGGCAGTGGAGAGAGTGTTAAGAGTTGGAACCAAACTGGTCCATGGACTGCGGAACCATTCTTACCCAGAAAGACTACTTGCGCTGGGAATGTTCTCGATGCACTATCGTCAACATCGAGGCGACCTAGTCTTGACCTATCGTATACTTACCGGGAAAACCGGACCCGATTTATCCGGGCTTTTCCAACCGGCTCGGCTTCCATCGCTCCGAGGTCACTCGCTAAAGCTACACAAACCTCGATCGGATGGAGTCCGGGCGAACTTTCGTTTATCACGCCGAGTGGTGGATTCCTGGAATGCACTGCCCGAAAACGTGGTATTGGCACCAACATTGAAAGAGTTCGAACACCGACCCGACGTTCTTGGCCTTCAATTATTAACATTTCCCTTCACTTCCCAGTTTATTCGTTTTATTGTATTATT